TAAATGGGGTCATGCTGAGGAAAAGTTTGGGAAGCACTGGGGTAATGGGTGGGCTGTTCACTGTAGCTGGTGTCACTCTTCTGGCTGGTGCTGTGGTGAAGCAGAAGCCCCCAGCTCCCAAAGCAGCCTATGGAGGCTATAGGTCCCCTGGAGCATTCGGTGCCAGAGGATGTGCTGCTCACCATCAGGGAAGGCCTGGCAAGCCTCTGTATTGAGCTTGAATAGAAATCAAACCTTTGAAGAATTGTTTTCTCCTAGCGTATGCTGAATGCAGACGGGCTCAGACAGTGGTGAATAGGGACTTAAATGTGGTATTAAATGTTTTTAGAAGCACAGCCCAAAATAATCCGTCCCTGGAAATCTTTATTTGCTTTGGTGCATGGGGGTCAGCCCTGCAGCACTCTGATTCAGGAGTGGAGCTAGCAATCTGAAACTCAGAGTAATAATCCTTGGCCCTTCTCATTCAAGGACCTCAAAAGTGCTTCCCAAACATTACTTTTTAATTAAGCCTTGCAATACCCTAGTGAAGGAGGTAATGCGAGATGGAGAGGTGTGAAAAGGCCAGCCAGCAAGTCAGCGGCAAAGCTGGGAAGAGACCCCAAGACCCTTTGAAAGCTAGTTCCTTTCTCTGCCCACTGGACAGGCCACCTGGCAGGTGCTCCATCTTGTGCCTATGGTAGACCCCTTAGGAAAACCCCCGTGCTTGCTTCCAGGTTAAGGGACTCTGGGACTGAGTGGAGAATCAGACCCCATGGCTCTCAAGGGAGACCTGTAATTCCACAGGGCACCGAATTCAGCAGCCCTTTGTCACAACTGTGATTGATTTCAACAGAAGTTTCTTGGGAGGATTTCTCCCTGTGCCCTCCTGAACAGGGGTGGGGAGGGGGGAGAGGAAGGGGATGGCAAGGGGTGTTCTTCCTAATTAGAGAGCTTGTAAATAGGCTTCTAGACACCAACAGCACATAGGTTGATGAAGTTGAATCTACGCAGCAAGTGCCTGCCTCCGTGCTGGCACTGGATGTGTTTGGCGCATTAACACGTAGCTTGTACAAGTGTGACCAATGTGGTCAGTTGTTTCAGTGCATCACAATGTCAGCTGCGATTCTGACTTGAGATCAATTGTTCATCAGGCTGTGATGGAAATGCGTTGCGGGTACGTTCACGTCTGCAATTTTATTCCAGGCCTGTTCTTATTGCACCTTTTCTTCCTGATTTTGGATCAGAGTCGTCATATTTCAGAGGAAAAGGCATGTACCAGCATAGCTCTAACTGCTTTTACAAGCTTTCCTATGCACATGTAGACAATATAAATACCTTCAGAACTCAATTTAAACACTTCTTCAAGGGATGATGTCAAATATTTGGTCTCCAAAAGACTGACTTGAAGCCTTTAGCTTGCATTGTGAATAATAAAGTCATGTACCTTAAGTACATGAGAGAGGGGGATAAACTGAGTTGATAATGAAACAGGAAATGTTCATGCACTATGCCCTCTCCTGGAAAGAGTCAGCTATCCACTTTGGGCCACAGGTGGCCAATGCACAGCACATGTCCCACAAGTGGCACATGAGGCCAGGCACACAGTAAAGGGAGATGCTGGAGTTGGGGCAGGGGGCTTTGAGCCTCCAGCCAAGTGGAGCAGAGCGAGGGCCGGATGCTGCTGCAAGAGGAGGTGTCAGTGCCAAGGGCCAGGTTAACCCTTCCCTGGCTCAAATTCAGGGCTTTTGTTCCCCTCCATATAAATCTGCAGTGGTCGTAGGGCCAAGGAAAGGTTAACCTAGCTCCATGCAGCCAGATGCTTGAGCCCCCTCCACATTCAGATATGCCTCTGAGGATGGCACCTGAGAAAGGATGGGGAGCAGGCCTTAACTTGTGGCACACCTGCCAAAAAGTGTGCGTCCAAGGCCACGTGCTACTGGCAGCTATTGCAGAGATTTCCTCGGCTACGGTAAGCAGGGCACGTGCTCTCAAGGCAGGAGATCTCTGTCCGCAGGCCCTCCTTGCGCCGCGGGGTTTGCTCAAGCAGGTAATGGATCCCACTTCAAGCCACAGCCAGGAGGAAGACTCCTTCTCCCCATTTTACAGCTAGGGAGATATGAAGCGACTTGCCCCCCGCCGGGCAGCGAGCCCGTGGTGGAGCTGGACACGGCGTCGGCACCTGTCGAGTCCAAGTCCAGCGCGTCCGCCGAAGGACCAGGCGCGGCTCCTGGAGTCCCCGATGGCCACAGTCAGCGCCAGGCTCCTCGAACAGCAGGAAAATGCCGCGCACACTAGAAAGAAAGAATAAAGAAAATGGACTGGTACTTTCTCCTGACCGCCCCTCGCTCTGAACCTCCGGGTCGGCATCCAAATCCCATACAACGATTCGGGGCGGTGGCAGCTGGCCCCGGCTCTCTGTGTCGCCCTGTCCCCAGGACCACGGGGGCAGCCGAGGCGGGGAAGCGCTTCCAGCAGATGCAGCTGGCCCGGAGCCACCGCGCTTCGCTTTGACCCCCCCCCCGCCCCGTACCTTGCCCGCGTTACACTGTGATGGGAGCACCGC